CATGTTCACTTTGTAGGTTTTCATTATTTTCAAACACTCAATTAATAGCCTATCAGAGAGATTTTAAATTGGTCCTGTGGTAACAAGCAAAGTAGGCAGACAGAAGTATTAGGAGACCCAAACCAAACTAAACAACAACACTCACATTTTGTCACCTTGGGCTCTGTCAAAAAAAAAATTGTTTTTTGTTTTTCCAAAAAAAAAAAAAAAAAATCAAATAATGTCTGTCCTACCAAAAAAAAAAACAATAGGATAAATAATTAATGTGTACACATCGATCAAATAACAAACTTCTTTTTTAAAAATTTTTTTTTATAATGTCAAAATCCACAACAAGAAAAAGAAGACAAGAAAATACATTTGGAGCAGCTGGGGGAAGTGGGTAAGTGTTTTAAGAATAAGGATGGTGGTGGTTATCACCCACCACTTGTCATTACTCTAGTTAAAAAAGAATAATGATTATTTTTTTAAATAAATTAATATAATGTCCTTCAAATTGCAGAGAAAGTAGAAGTGAAAGAAGTGGCCTATTTGAACATTTTGAAAAATATGCTAGAGATATCATATTGGAGTTGGGCTCAATTAATAATCTATCTGAAAAAGAAACAGCCATGATAGAATTTTTCGAGACTGAAGTAAAATCGCTTGAATTTTTACTAAAAAATATATCACATAAATTTTTAGAATATGTCAATGAAAACCTTACAACAAAGGTGGATTATTTATTTTATATATATATATGTTTATAAATACAGTCAAAGCTTGTTATAGTGGATCTCATTATAGTGGACACATAATAAAATCTCATTATAGTGGATCTTTTTTGTTTCCAATGCTAATTAATTTTGCTTGATATAGTGGAAAACATAATAAAATTTCGTTATAGTGTAAAAAAGGAGAAAAATTACATATGGAACCAAGGGTCCACTATAACAAGCTTTGACTGTACTACATTCATACATTCATACACATATTCCAAATATGTATCTTTTTTGTAGAATACACCTTCATCAACAACTCCTATTTTACAAATAGATACTTCAACTTCATCATCACCTACAGAACCTTCACTATTTCATGAATCGTTTTCCACTAACAATAATATCTCAACATCTTATGTAAATAATGAATTGTTTTTCACCAACAATAATATCTCAACATCTCATGATAACAATCTACCTCCATCAGTAAGGTTTCTGGTTGAAACTGCTTCTATTAGTAGCCAAAATTGCCCAAATACTTTGGGCAAAAATTATTTTTTTATAAGCCCAAACTACTT